AGTGTCTTGACATCCCCGCCGGCTACAGGGTCAGCCATCTTCTCTTGGCGTTGTAGAAGGCGGTAAATGATGCCTGTTAATCCAGTCCGCTGCAAAATTTGTGTAGGGAGGAGATTGGAGGTAGATCTTGCACATCCCTCACTCCAGCGCTCTTTCCGTAACTGGCAAACTGTTCTCCCATAACAGTGTCGACCTGCGTTTATTGTTCACCCATAGCGAGTACAAGTCGGATAACTGATTACGTAAAGCGGCAGAAATTTTTTTACTTGTCCATGATTGAAGAAATAAATATTGAAAGATCTTTCCAAGAATCTCGTAAATTTCTGGCTAGCTTAGATGGTAGAGCATCAGAGTCTCAATCTCACAGCCATGGGTTCGAGTCCCACATCGAATAAAAACTAATCAAAGGCTTCCATATTGTTTATGATTTACATATCTTAACAGAATAGCTCCCCACGCAAACGCGAAATTTTTTATAGTACCGACATTTCGAGTTATTCATGGCTCGTGGTCAAAATATGGTGATGAAAATAAGTTTAATAAAAGTCCCATAGATCAGGTCACATTCACGGGGTCTCACGATGGCAACTGACAGCTAACGTTGAGGTATCGCTCAAAGCTTTTTGGCCTTCCCTAATTCGAAACACCACTAGTTATGCTGCTGTGCTGCTAAACGATGGCGTGTTTTCCGGTCGTAAGCGGCTGCAGCATCGCAGGTTTTTTTGTCATTCTGCCCTGATAATCAGACTGTCTTTCATTTGACTGCTTCCCATCTCATTTTTGTTGTGTATTACTTTTCCCCCTAAGTCAGCATTATTCCGCTTTATAAGGTTGTGTTTGTGTGCTTGCTTTTCTTTTTTCTTCAATGATGCCACTTGTTTTGTCAATGTCTTTACCAAATGTGCTACGAATGAAGTAGATTCATGCACACTTCCGTCCTGAAGACGTTTTGACAATGGTTAGTCGACCGCAGAGGGCGAGTTTGGGTTTAAAAATGGGTCCCTTGTTCAAGCACCAACATTTTATTACATATCAGAACTTTTTTGACCTTAGTGTCAATTTATTTCTATCAACCGTTCACCTCTTGACATCTGAAATACAAAAGAATGTGTTATCCGAAAGAACCATGTGCCATCTCCTTTTGAAGTTTCTGACTCTACCAGTTCCCGTTTCATTGTTAAACTGAAAGAAAAGGCAATCAATTATCAGAAAGTGCTTGTGTTAGCCCAACCCCACATACTGGAGAAATTTCTTACTGACCAGATCAACCTCGCAGTGACTCTAATGGCAAAATAAGCATTCAGGAGGAAATTCGAACATTTTCAACTGTGGTTTAAATAACGTAAATTCTTTCGGATTTGAGAAGGAGTTCTGAACCACCTCAAAAAGGTGAGATAATTAGCATCTTTTTCTGTAATTATACGCTGAGATTGCTTTAGATTACTGAAAAGAGGAAACACTCTTTCTACCTACTAAAGGCAATGGACATGGCAGAAATATTAATATGACGCAGACACCTTTGAAACTAAGAGCATGGCCATTCTGACGTAGTTCATTCGTGTGTGGATGCAATTAATACATTCGGCTGATTATAATCAGGACAGCATGAAATTAAAGATTCGAAAAGAGACTGCACTGAGTGGCCGAACGTCATGAAGAGGCCTGAGGCAGACGAAAATATTTGTCGATTCACTGAATCCGATGCGTCGCTATCTTCTAACCTAGCTGTGATGACAACCAGCATCTTCTGTTCTGAGGAAAGATCGCGTGTATAAGTATCGGGATCATGATTCGTCAGATATGACCACCTCATGTAGTATTTCATCTCCATACCCTATGATCTACTCCAGACACATCTGCAGTTTCGAGTCTTTAGCCCATAAATTTTTATAATGTGTCATCCTAAATTCAGAAGTTAGACAGCAGCGATGATAAACGGCATCATCTGTTCTGAGGGAGGACGTTATGAAGACTAGCGAGGAACACTGTTTCGCCAGATTTGCTGATCATCAGTTAGTGTGAAAGACAGTGTTTCGTCTGCGATCAACTTCAACCTGTTTTTTTGCATTTTTTGTCCTGAAAATTGGTCATCTGTTTGGAGGAAACAAGATATGACGAAATACTCTCGGTATGCCTTTTTCTGAGATCAACAGAAGCATATCCCCGCAAGTCCATCCCCCCCCACACACACTATAGTCCACCTGTCACAGTCAGGTTTGAGAGTCAATGTGACAGTATGATAGATACAGTTACGCAGAGGTTTGCCAACGTTTTATTAGCATAGCCTCATCTGTGAACCGTTTCGAACTTAATGACAAGCTGTCATGGCTGGCCAAAATACATTCTGCCGAAATTCACCCAGCTTTGGAACAGTTGCCTTGTTCACTGTTCGTTCTCCTCAGCGAGGTCGCACATGTCACAACCGTAAACCGGAAGAACATCTATCGTATTCCTATCGCGGACAGAAATTTATTTCTCGTCGTGCTCGTAAACCGTGTTCCGAAGGCGATGATTCATGGCACTTATCAAAGCAAATGGCTTGAGGCAAAAACCTTACACTCATTTTCAACTGGGTGATACATGAATGATTCCGGGAAATTCTGTTGTTCAAGTTTGGTTTTACTCAATGCAACTTTTTCAGCAACTCAGCAAACTGACTAGATGGCAGATTTCAAAGAACGCGCCAGTCATCGACAGCACCGTACTCATGCGAGAGTGGTTCATTTTTTAGTAGAGAAGCTTCAGACAAGTATCTGCTACTGACTACCTCCACGGCAACCGAAGACTACCAGTTCCACTACCTCTAAAAAGACGGAATACGGCATGAAGCATCGGCATCGTTTTATTACACAGAGCATCATATTTTATGTTTATGTACAATCAGATCGTTTCTTTGTTGATTTTTTCAACTTTCTTCATTCTTTAGAATAGATCGTCATCTCTCATGCGGAAGCACAATGAAGAATCTGCCAAATACGAGTTTCCAACAATTGGCAATCGATTGCTCTAATGCGCCTGTATAGTGCATCACTCATCAGTGCCAGATTTCATGGTGTATTGCAACGCCCATTGCTTCTAATTGCCTAACGGGCTATTTAAACGGACGACAGTTCCATGGTGTTTGAGCATCTGCAGGGCCAGATGCACTTCACATCAGTTTTCCGCTAAAACCACCTCACGTTCAGCAAGAAAGATGTTCTAGGAGCAGGTGCTCCTTGATTACTAACGCTACTTGCATTGCTAAAGGTCATATATCATAAATCTGGGTTACTCTCCTGTTTAAGGTGCGGTAGCCTTTGATGGCGATGCCATCACACGAACATCACAATCTATGACAGATTATGACACAATAAATTGGTCATCTAGTAAGCGACTGTTGCAATGTTGTGAAAGGTACATGTTTACGTGTCACAGAAAAAGATTTGCGCATGCGAACAGAGGCCGGTGGTGGTCATAATGTACCTGTCTGGCGAGGTTGTTGACGCTCAGCTCTTGAACGTCCGTTTGGTCGATGTGCTGGACGTTCGGCAGTTCGACGGACATCGTTCATCAGCGATGGCGACCACAGACAGGACTACGCCCTGACAGCGTCGAGAAGGCGTGATTGAACGGCGGTGTGGTCATTCGTAAGAGCTAATGGGAGATAGCGATCGGCAGCAGTTGGTTCGAACTCTATGCTTCGTTCATCATAGACTCAGAGACTCAGAGATTGCCGGATCTCACCTTCGTGTACCTCTTCGTCGCCCTCGTTCGCCTGTTCGCCGTTTGCCACGTGACGCCGCATGCATGGCATTTGTTACTGGTGCCAACGTCACACACAGCAGAGTTGGGCAAGTGGCGAGTACTCATCGGTCAGCTGTTCGACGACCGTAGATTAACGGGTTGACCATCAGCTCTCTCGAATAATGCTCGCGCTGGTCGGCGGTGTTTCGTAACCGATACGGTGTCGGTCGAATTCGAGCGATGGTGGTACTAATTTCTAATTAGCAGCTTAATTACCAACATCGATACCCGACCGTTATTACCCACGTCATTCGATTTCACTTCGCCAACTAAACACGTCATTAAGTTAATTACGCTAAACAGTTCCATCTGATGTATTCATTGATTAACATAATCAATTCCATAAATTACATTAATCCACAGTGCTAATAGCGGTTTGAAACCGTTTTTAACATTTGATGCGGCATTGTGCAAAAAATAATGTCGTGGGGATGAGAAACGGTCATTTCAATCTATATCCATCGGTTTATCCATTTTCACAGTTCGTTATTCTGTTTTTTCACAGGGGTTAGGGTGGTTCAGGAAATGTTCAATGGTACAGGTCATCCGCCAATGAGAAAAGCTCCATTAATTGAATTTCCAGGCGCGTAAACGCCAGATTTCAACGTGTTCGAATCGTCTGACCTTTGGTTTGCCATCAATCACCTGTATATAGTTTTTCGTGAAGAACCCGCCCGGTGGCACCCTCCTTCGACATCTTCAATGCGTATTCATGCAGTGGCAGTTGTAATCGCTGAACAAGCGGCTGAAAGGCGAGGTTATGTACATCGTCTTGTCTTGAATCCTATCGATCCTTATCACATCAGCAATCCTTCGAAGAAAACTCATTTCCGGAGCCGTATTTGGTGCACACTCGTTAGTTTCATATCCCGCATAGGTGTCCGTCGGAAGAGTATGTGTTCAGACAAACTTGAGGATGTTCTATCTAAAGATGATCTTCGAAATGTTGCGACAGAATCATATTGATCCTCAACGATTCTTTCCCCTAAAGAATTTAACTCACATTCAGTGTGCAACAAGGCAGACGGTATATTAAAGTAAAAGCGATACTCAGTGCTTTTAGGAACTTGATCGTACCATTGTAGTGCGTGGTGCTCGACTTGGGGAGTAGTGAAGTTATTGCAGAAACAACAAGAACAGCAGACGTTGCAATTTTTTCTGATTGTCATAACGAATAAGGGCTATCTGGTCGCTTAAGGCGAATTGCAGCCCTTCGAATCATTTGCATCTAACAACACAGTCGTAAGTCTTGTCCATTTTGGAATGACCACACCAGAATACCTGTTTGACCCCGGTCCTAGCAACTCAGCGATATGCCACCCATTTATCAGCTTATTGCACCGTAGCAACGGGAATAAATTCGTTGTGCAATAGAATAAGCAGAGAAGACAAAGTCTGTCTTTTGTCTGGATTAAAACTCCGCACCTCCTTAGTAACGCTCGCCCAAAATTAGGCAGTGCAATCGGTTAAACAAAAAGGATATCTATAAACTATATTTCAGCCCGCATCCTGTATCATTCTTCCGGTAAATTGACTGTAATTATCGACTGCATTTGTTGTAGGACAAATTATGCTTATTAAATTAGTCATTCTCGATATGAGCACTTTTCAAATGACAACGCACGAAATTATACTACTTTATTGCCTGATTAGTGTTTGTAATTTTTATTGATCTCTTTTGATAAACTACTCCTAACGCGCATTATTCTAACGACTCATAATTCATGAATATCTGATGCTGCTTGTAACAGTTTGTAACATCGTTAATAAGCAAATTCATATTTCTTGCGGTGAGGATGCTACTGGTACACAGGACTCGAGCTTTCCGTCAACGCTGCAAAATCATTCCGGCATCATGGTTCAAAGGTGCACAATTCGATTTACATGATATGATATAAACTGCAGCTGAACTTGAGCAGTAATGTAACAGTTTCAGAGAAGAGATGCAAAATTAATGTCTGA